CTTGTCTTTAAAAGTCTTTGCTTATACTATCATACATAATAAAATCCAATAAGATACAACCTGTTTAGACCAATGCAGACAGAAGAACAAAAGCTTGATGAGACTTCAAAACAAGATGATACTAAATCAGTATTACCTATTAAGACGTCATTTTCTCCAAAATAGCTGTTCCTATCATCCAATCATCTCTGCCTCATTTCTGTTGAGCTCTTTTTCTGTCATTAGTTGTCAGTTTGTCTTCTTCATTTTGTTTTCTGCTCCATTCATTGTGGCCTCTCTGCCGCTACTTCTGGATTTTTTGTATTTTTCTTTTTTAGAATATCTTGCAGTGTTCTCTGTAGAGTTGAATTGGTGGTTGCAAATTCCCCCAGTTCCTCTTTATCCTGGAAGCACCTTGTTTTTCCATCAATGTCCAGGGACAGTTGTGCAGGATATCTCAATCTTGGCTGGAGATTATTATCTTTCAAAGCTTCAATTATTTCCCCCCACGCTCTTCGTGATTTGATGGTTTGTACAGAGAAATCTGCTGTAATTCTGATGGGTGTTCCCTTGTAAGTGGTCTGTTTCTTGTCTCTGACAGTTTTTAATATTCTGTTCTTGTATTGAATTTATGGAATTTTTATTATTATATGCCTGGGTGTTGCTCTGTTTGGGTTGTAGGTGGCTGGGGTTCTGTATGCTTCATACAACTGAGTATCTTTACCTTTTGCTAAATTAGGAAAATTCTCCTGGATTATTTCTGTGAGTAGCTTTTGTAGTTCATTTGTTTGTGTCCCTACTTTTTCTTTTATGTTCTTAATTCTTAAGTTATGGATCGTCTTATCATCTTCTAGTCTTTGTATTATTGCTGTTTGTTTCTTTGTTACTTTTAAGAAGTTTTTCATTTCATTCTCCCATATTACAAATCTGCCCTCCAGTTCAGATAGTCTGTCCTTAGTTTCTTTCAAGCTGTTATGCCAGTTTTCGATAGACTTTTTAGTTTCCTGGTAGTCTCTTTGAACCTGCTTCATGTATTCTATGCTTTCTCTTTTTTCTCCATCAAACAATTCTCCCCTCTTTTTCTGTTCTTCCATTCCACCATCCGTTTTTTCTTGGGTGGTGCTTAGCATTTCTCTAACTATTCTGCTTATGTCTAGCTTTAGGCCATTAATAACTTCATTCCTGAATTCATCTATGAAGCTCTCTAGATGGCGCTTTATGTCTATTGGTGCGGTGTCCGCTCTTGCCTGTTTCTCAGGATTGGAGGCCGAAGGGCCTTTCTTATTGCTCCCTCTTCCCATATTCTTTGTTCCTTATATATGCAAGCGTATATAGGAGGCCCAGCTTCCCTCCCTGTCAGCTACAGCCTGATCGAATTGCGCCGACTAGTGTTCCCGCCCACCGCAGCACACCAGGAAGTTGCAGACCAGGCAGCCTACGCGGGGCCCGCCCCTCCAGGCCACCCTCAGGCTCTGGGATCTGGGTTGTGCTAGCCTACTGGGTCTCGGCCAGCAGCGTCACGTAGGCTAGGCACTTCTCACCAATCCCGCTTGAGAGGGGGATAGGTGGCTGAAGTCGCTGCAGCGCCCCGCTCCTGCAAGTCTGCCCAGTCCCGGAATGTCCTCTGTTGGAGTCTCCTGGACCATGGGAGAGTCCCAGTTTTCCCTCACTCACCAGAGGTGGATGCATGGCTCCCCGCCCGTGCTGTTTTTAACTCCCTTTGCTGATTCCTGTTCTCAGAGCTTCCATGCGTCTCTCTCCCTGCCGAGCCAATGTAGACGCAGCCGCCACGTGGTGGGAAATCCAAATCGTGGCTTCCAATGGCGCGGGCTTCAGCTTCCACACTGAGGCTTTTCTGTTCCTGTTATAGCACCAGGATTGCATTCCAAGTTGGTTTCTCTCAGCCCGTTCTTGGGTCAGCAGGCCATGTCTCCACTTGCTTATGATTCCTTACTCCACACCATTCATGAATTTTTAGCTGGGTCTTTCAGAGAGCCTCTGTAGCTGCTGCTATCTGTCCGCCATGTTCTCCCAGAAGCCCCACATTTTTTATTCTTAAGTTATAGATCCTGTTGTCATTTTCTAGCCTTTGTATTGCTATTTCCTGTTTCCTTGTTACTTTTAAGAGACCTTTCCTTTCATGATCACATATTGCAAGCCTGTCTTCAAGTTTTCATAGTCTATCTTTAGTTTATTTCAGGCAGTTTTGCAATCTTTCAAAGTAGTTTTTAATTTCCTGATAGTATCTTTCAATATGTTTCATGTATTCTACACTTTTTTATATTCTTCATCAAAGGTTTCTCTCCTTTTTCTGTGACCCTCCATTCTTCCATCTGTGTCTTCTTGAGACGTGCTTAGCATTTATTTTATTAGACTTCTTATATCTTGCTGTACTTGTATTAGTATTGCTGTTTTCAGGTCTTCTATAATGTCACAAAGATATTTCTTTATGTCAGCTGATGCTGTTTCCAATACTTCATGTCTGCTATCCTTGATCTCTTCTGTAATTACCTCTCCTAGACCCATACTGTTTGAATTGGTAGCTGAAGACAGATTTTTCTTTCTTTCTCTTGTTATGTTTCTGGTTTCTTCCCGACAAGTGCATAGTGTGGGTCCCAGGCCCTTTCTGTATTGGTTATGATTTCTTTGAAGTCAATGGTGAGGTATTTCTGCCCTCTCCCATTTGCTGTTGATCAGTGAGGTACAAGCAGGGGTAGTGCAGGCTGGCCCCTCCCCTCTGAGCCAGTCAACCATGTGAGTCTTCACCATCTTAGTGTGTACTGCACAGATGGAACTGGCTCAGGACTGTTTCAGGGGCAACTTCATCCCTGGCTATTGGGTCCCGTTCCAGGGGCATGACCCAGTTGAAGCAGTTCCCACCAATCTGCTCTGCATCAGCAGAGGCCAAATGAAGCAACTACAGTTCCAGATTCAGGCCCATCCTGCCTGATTCCAGCATGTCACCCAGCTGATCACCACCTCCTGCAGGAGGACCAAATTCCAAGCACTCACCACAGGCCAATGTAGATCTCCATGCCAGCTCCATTCTCTGTTGTTACACACCTTCCTACTAAGGTCCTCAGGCTCAAAAACCCCCAACTTCAGCAGGACTGTGAGTTGTTGGACTCCAGGGTGCTTAGGGCAATGTGGGAGCACTTCTGTTGAATGAAAGTGCATCTGGATTCAGGCTTCCACCCATGTTTTTCTTTCATTTTTCCTTGGCTTTTTCCTGAGTCATGAGAATCCCTCTCCTTTTTTCTGGTCTTCTCCATGGCATTAAATTCTAGCATCTTAGCTGTTTCTCTCAGAGAGCCTCGCTATCTTGCTACTTATTGATCTGCCATCTTCCCCGCTAGTCTATATTTCTCTTTTGAGCATCCGTTCTTACTTCTGAGGCTTCCTCAGATCCACATGAACTAATATTCATTGCCATTTCATTTTGGTATGGTATTTTCCATTGTTCTTGAAGCTGTTCAGCTATGCAGCCAGTGAATTAGTATTTTCACTGTTGAAAATGGTTATGAGACACAGAAAGCTGTGAAGGGACAGCATGGGAAACTGAGGGCCTCATCAACAGGAGGTAAGGTGCTCTCAAAATTTCCACAGAGGTAGAGCTCATAAACATTGGGTAAGTATTATTTTTATGTGCCACAGCAAGCTCTTTGCTATCCCTGAAAGCCCTAGAAGTTTCTCCGTTTCTGATCTAGACCTAGACACAAACAAGTACCAACAAGTGCAGAGTGCTAGGAGACAGGAAAAGAAAGCATAATGAAAATATACTCTTTTTCTTTAGAAACCACATTATCGGATTTAAAAATTTGAAGATAAGTGGAAGAAAACAGGAGACATAAGAGTTTAAAAGACAATTCACTGTGAAAAATCTCTTTGTCATATGGCTTTCATGGACTTCCCATACTGTAGGAATGGTGGTTTAACAGTGAATTAAAATCTATGGAGTATAACGTTGTAAGAGGACCAATCATACCAAAGGTTATCTGTCATTTCACGCTTTTTCTTTCTTGTTGGGGCATAGCACAGTGAGGTTTTCAGATATATAATGTATCACATGTCTCAGTTCAAATGATTCATGAATCACAGCTCTAAAGGATGCTGGCATATGTGCTGCATGTTGCTATTTTGCCACTTGTTTGTTTCTTTGTTGTGATACCTAAGGTTGAACGCCTAAACTTGCACTTGCCAGGCAGATATGTATCTTGCTGAGCTAAATCCCTGCTCACTGTATTTTGCCTCACTAAGATTCAGTTTCTACTAGTGTCAATAGAGTCAACATTCTTATAAAAAAAGCTTCTGTATAATCTGTAAGAAAACTTCCTACTATTCAAGGAATTCAGGCCTAAGATTCATAATCACTGTTTTGAATAACTGTATCTACCAGTCATTAAGGAATGATTGTAGACTACTTTCTTAACAATCAAAATATGAGACACCATACATACATACTTGTAAGAGTCTGCTTTTGAGAAAATCTATCTGCTTGCAATCAAGAACATATCAATACTGAGATGAAATGAAGTGGAAACACAGTGGGCTTGTTCGTAAGGAAAGCTTAGTCTGGGTAAACATCAGACTTACTGGAAGCACTTTTCCTCACTGTGGTGAACTGAGAGATGTGATGGTGGGGACCAGTGAACCTCTTGCCACAGCCTCCTGAGTTAACTGGGACTCAGGAAGGTGCCAGAAGGATCAACTCTCCAGCAAGCACCCACAAACTTGAAAACAACTCGGAATTTTATAGTAAGTTTTGTGGATACCTGTGAAGTACCCCGGGTCCAAGCTGGTAACATAGGGTATTGAGACATAAGTAAACAACACATTAAAAGTTGTTTTCTCTTATGCATATCAGCACTCTATTTGCAAGTATGGACAGCAATAATTACATCTGCACTGTTAATGTCAAAGCCTTCCAAAGATTTGGAGAAAAAAACTGACATGATTCTGGGCACATCAAACACTTTAAGGTACTGTGATTTTTCCAGAGTCATCTGTATTGCTTCATTTACCTAGTTGGAATGGCTGTATAACTTTCATTCTTACTGCTTTCTTCACAACAGAATCTTTTTCTTCCATGGCAGCCTGAATGGGTTTTAAAGTAAAATGGTTAGTAAACACTCCACGGCTCCAAACTATGCAGTTAATTCAGAACACAAATATACAGTCATTACCTTCCCATGAAGATGTGTGTCACCTGATTCTGTAAAGGAAAAAGGAAAAATAAACTTTATAAAGAAATATGGGAAAGCCAAAGACACATTCTTGTACTGTGAGGCTTTGGCTGAATCTTCATGCTTTGCTTTGGAAACCCAAATCATGCAACACAGTGAGGACAACTGCCTGACACAAACACAGGTCTGATATTCATCAGTTTTTACCCAGTAAGGTTGACTCACCAGATTCTGGGAATGCTGGTGGACTCTTCATCACGGATTCTGCCAGAAGTGGATGTTGATGGCCAAGCATCAATTTCTCAGATCTCTTCAGAGTCTCATTAGACTCGGTGAAACTCCAATCTGAATCAGAACAAAAAGTTTTACTTATTAGGATGTAATGACAATACAAACATAATTAATATATCAACCCTTTCCTCAGAAGTACTCTCATGTATTTCTCTGCCCCACAGTCCAATAATTGTTCCACTGCTTCTGTGCTTGACACTCACTAAGCCAAGTCTGATTGTTACCATCATCTCTCTTTCTTCTGTTTTAACTTAGTAGTATTGTGATTTTCCAACAATCTCTTTAATTTTTTTTTTGTTTTCTTTTTTTGGGTGGGGTATACCATGGATCGAACTCATGACCTTGTGTTTCCCATGCAGGCACTTATACCACTGAACTAAATCCCCTGCTCCACTCTTTAGTTTTTAGTACTCTTGATTGTTAAAACTTTAGGGATATGAATTATATTTCACTGCTTTGAGATGTTAAGTGTGTAAAGAATGAGCAAAGTGTGTAAAAGGCATTGTGAAATAGGGAGCAATTCTTCCAGAGAAAGGGGAAGCAAAGAAGAGGCAGGGTGGATGGAAAGAATGGGGACAAAGACTCCACTGGTTAAGTGAAATGAGTCACAAGCACAAATTTCAATACCATATTGTTTGCTAGTGGGAGAAACTGAAAAGTGTAATGGCCCAACTGTGCAAAAGATAGAAAATATTCAAATAGAAATGGTAAAGTGGTGGGAGGGTAAGGAAGTAAAGGATGTAAAGGAAAAAAAGGAGCAAACAGAAGAAAATGGAAACAAAATTTTTAAATAAGGACAGTAAGATAAGGAGTTGAAGGGAGAAGAAGTGACTAGGGGAAAAATAAATAAGACTATCAGGTACAGGGAGAAACTTCCTTTAATGAATGTGATCCTTATGGATATCTAAAATGCACCAATGAAAGCAATTTGAAAAAATATATGAAAATTATCCACTTGAATATAAACACACTATTTTTTCCCCAGTCAAAGGTATGGATGTGAATGAATATTCTACTTTCAAATGGGGAACTACAATGAGATACATTCTTCAATACATCAGTGTTGTGAGAATTCCCTTCTCCGGGTTTTGATAACATCATAAATTCCTAAGAAAAGTGCTAGCTTTCAGTGACCTAAATGTGCTCATGTGCAAACTGGTTTATTCCAGGTGAATCGTGGTGAACCTTTGGCACATGTTGCACAGTGGGCTCTTTGCCATCATTGAAAGGCCTAGAAGTTTGCTGTCTCTGACCTAGGTTCACATTAGTGAATGCAGAGCACCAGGAGACAGCAAAGGAAAGCATAATGAAAATATATCTTTTTTTCTTTATAAATCACATTGGAAGATTTGCAAATTTTAACACAAGTCAAAACAAACAGGAGACATAAGAGTTTAAAAGGCATTTCCCAGTGAAGAAGTTTTTTATCATATGGCTTTCGTGGATTTCCCATGTTTTTGGAATGGTAGTTTAACAGTGCATTAGAATTGTTGGAGGCTTAGGTTCTAAGAAGACCAATCATATGAAAAGTTATGTTCCATTTCATGCTGATTCTCTTTCTTGTTCAGGCATAGCACAGCGGGTTTTCAGAGATGTAATATGTCATGTGTCACAGTTCAAAAGATTCTGAATCACAGCTCTCATGAATGTCGACATATGTATGCATGCCACTATTTTAATGCTTTCTTGCTTGTTTCTTTCTTTCTTTTTGCACCTTGGATCAAACTCATCATCTTGTACTTGGCAAGCAGACACTCATGCTGCTGAATTTAATCCCAGGTCCCTATATTTTACCTCTTTCAGATTCAGTTTCTTCTACAGTGTCAATAGATTTCAACATGCTTAAAAATAAAAGGTCCTGTAGAATCTGTAAGAACCTTAACTACTATACAAGGAATCAGACCTAAGTTTCACAATCACTGGTCTGTAAAATTCTATCTAGCAGGCACCAAGGAATGATTATAGACCCCATTCTTACTAATCAAACTGTTACACACCATACATACACATTCATACAGTCTGCTTTTGTGAACATCTGTCTGCTTGCAAACATGAATATTCTAATAATTAGATGAAATAGAATGGAAATGCATTTGGCTTGTTATTAAGGAAAGCTTTAGTCAAGGTACAAATCAGAATTACTGGAGGCATTTTTGCTGGTGGTGTTGAACTGAGAGATAAGGTCCTGGGTACCAGTGAACCTCTTACCACAACTTCCTGAATTAATAGGGACTCAGGGATGTGCCAGAGGACCCAGCACTCCACCAAGAATCCACAAACTTTCAAACCATCTTCAAATATTATAGTTAGATCTGTGGATCCCTGTGAAATATAAGAATCCAAATTGGGAGAGTTTAAGATCATTGCTCCCAGTGGTTAAGTGCCCGCCCATCTTCCAGCCACACTATACTGATCTCTGCAGCTTTCATGGACTCAAATGGACTATACGCTGTGACCTTCTTCAATCAGTGGAGATGAATGCATTGGAGGTTAGTTCTAGCACATTGGTGCTAGCCTAGGGAGACATTTGGACCATCCCTAACCCTGATTAGGAGCTCACCCAGCTTTCTGAAACACTGGAGATGGCATGAAAGTTCCTGTGGGTATGACTGGACCATGATCTCCAACCTCCATTCAGTCCCAGGAGCCAAGGGCACAGGAGACAATTACCAACACACCCAGGGGAAGCTTTGGAACATCTTTTGAAACACAGAATTCTAGGAAAATGACAAGACAGAAGACCAAAATGCAATATCAAACCTCCAGCCCATCCCAAGATAGCCTGGAAACCATATACATAGAAGAAAATATATGCCATATACCTGAAATATCTGAAATAATATGAAATGAATTAAAGAAGCAACTCTGAGAAGTTTTAAAGGAATTCAAATTAGAAATAATCTCTCAAGTAAAAGAAGAAATGATAAAGGTAATAAAAGAAATGCTGAACATATCTAAAGAAGACACAGTTAAATAATTAGAGGAATAATGTAAAAACATAGAATTCATGGATGAACAATTTAAGAAACAGAATGCATGAAGCAGATTCAAAGAGATATACAGGAAAACAAAAATTTCATTGAAAGTTGTCAAAACTGTCACAAGGAGTGAAGATAGAACTTCAGACCTCGAAGACAAGATTTCAGCTAGTGAACAGGAAAGATATTTTAAAAATAACAAGGAATCAGGAGATAACAATTCAAGCAATGCAACATGATGCAAATAAAAACAAGAGATTGATAGGGATAAATGAAAAAGAAGGGGACAACACAAATGATATGAAGAGGCTATTTACACAAGTAGTAGCTGAAAATTTCCCAAACATGAAAATGGAAACTGACATATGGATTAGTGAAACATATAGAACTCCAAATAGCCATAACCACCCAGACATATAATAATCACCACCCAGAAATCAAACATAAGAATAGAATATTAAAAGCTGTTAAAGAGAAAAGACAGACCACCTATAAAGGAAAACATATAAGAATCACAGAAGGCTTCTCAACACAAACAATGAAGTCAAGAAGAGCATGGAGCGAAGTATTTCAGATCCTAAAAGAAAATGACTTCTAACCCAGACTGATATACCCTGAAAAGCTGTCCTTCAAAATGGATGGAGAAATAAGATACTTCCATGACAAAGAACAGCTGACGAACTTCATAAATACCAAACCAATCTGGAAAAGAATACTGAAACACATTCTAGATACACATAGGAAAAGACTACTAAGCAATATTTACCTCGATATGATAAAGGACATCTATGACATACCAATTAAACAGAATAGAAAGGTAAAGATACAACAGCAGAAAGAAAACATGTCAACAATAAAGCAGTGTAGAACAGCTATAACCATTAATGTAAATGGAATCAATTCATCCATTGAAAGAAACAGACTGGCAGAATGGATTAAGAAACAACATCAAATCAAACTCTGTCCACAAGAAACCCATCTAACCCAAAAGGAAACTCATAGACTGAAAGTCAAAGGATGGAAAACAATACTTCATGCAACAGGAATTTAAAAAATTAGGGGTAACTATTCTATTTGCAGACAATGTGAACTTGAAACCAAGAATAATCCAAAGAGATAAAGAAGGTCACTACATAGTAGTTTGGGGAAAACTTCAAGAGGAAGAGATAACAATCTTAAATATACATGCACCAAATTCCAGAACACCCAGCTATACAAAGCAAATATTAGCAGAAATGAAAAATTAAATAAGTAATAACACAATTATGACAGGAGACCTTAACACACCCTTGGCACTAAGGGAGAGATCAACCAGACAGAAAATCAGCAAACAAATAACAGAACTGAATCATAGCTGTGAACAAATGGATTTGATAAACGTATACAGTGTTCCATTCAACAACATCAGAATACATATTCTTATCAGCCGTACATGGGACATTCTTTAAAAGAGACCATATACTAGCCCATGGAACATATCTAAGTAAATGCAAAGGAGTTGAAATTATCCCATGCATTTTATCAAATCATAGGACAATGAAACTAGAAATTAATGATAAAAGAAATGGCAAGAATCCCCCAAACACATGGAAATTGAATAATACACTCTTGAGCATTCAGTGAGTCACAAAGGAAATTAAAAGAGAAATTAAACAATACCTACAAGCAAATGAAAATATAAATACAACTTACCAGAATCTGTGTGATGCAATGAAAGCAGCCCTCAGAGAAAAATTACACTGAGCTCCCACATCGGGACTATAGAACAAAAACAAGCAACTTGATGCTACACCTCAAACATCTAGAAAAAGAAGAGCAAGTCAAGCTCAAAGCCATAAGAATGGAGTAAATCATAAAAATCAGAGCAGAAATTAATGCAATAGAGACTAAGAAAACAATATAAAGAATCAATGAATCAAAGAGTTGGTTCTTTGAAGGAATAAATAAAATTGATAATCCACTAACCAACCTTTTTTTAAAAAAGGAAAGAAAAAACTCAAATTCATGCAATAAGGAATGAAAAAGGCGAAGTCACTGCAGACTGCAGAAACACAAAAGATCATTAACACCTATTTCAAAAACCTCTACTTTCATAGGTTCGATGACACAGAAGATATAGACAGATTCCTAGAAACATATAAACTACCAAAGCTGGGTCAAGAAGATGTCAAACTGCTGAATAACCCAAATTCAATTAATGAAATTGAAAACATAATTAAGTCCTTACCTACAAAGAAGAGCCCAGGCCCACGTGGATTCACTGTGGAATCCTACAAGAAATACAATGAAGACTTAATGCCAACACTCCTCAAACTCCTCAATGAAATCAAAAGGAAAGCAATTCTTCCCAAGTCATTCCTGGAAGCAACTGTTACCCTACTACCAAAATCTGAGAAGGACCCAACTAAAAAAGATCTTCCTAAAGAACATAGATGCAAAAATCCTTATTAAGATATTGGCAAACAGGATACAGCAAATCATCAAGAAGATTACACACCATGACCAAGTGGGATGCATCCCATCCATGCAGGGATGGTTCAACAAACATAAATCAATAAATGTAATCCTACATATCAATAGAGCCAAAAGTAACAATCACATGATCATTTCTATAGATGCAGAAAAGCTTTTGATAAGATCCAACACTTATCCATGATAAGAATCTTACAGAAAATTGGAATAGATGGTCTTTACATCAGTATGATAAAAGACATCAATGACATACCAAGAGCCAGAATCATATTAAATGGCAAAGAACTGAAGGCCTTTACCTTAAAATCAGGCACAAGACAAGGATGTCCCTCATCACCGCTCCTATTTAACATAGTACTGGAAATACTAGCCAGAGCAATTAGACAAGAGAGAGAAATAAAAGGAGTAAACATAGGAAAAGAGGAAGTTAAATTATCATTATTTGCAGATGACATGATACTCTACACAGAAGACCCCCAAAACTCCATTGAAAGACTTCTAGATATAATAAATAAGTTCAGCAGTGCAGCTGGATACAAAGTCAATACTCAAAAATCAATTGCATTCCTATACACTAACAACAAAATCACAGACAGAGAAATAAGAGAAGCCACACCCTTCACACTGGCATCCAAAAATATGAAATATTTAGGAATTAATCTCACAATACAAGTAAAAGAATTACAGGGAAAATTATAATACCCTGAAAGAAGAAATTGAAGACATCAGAAAATGGGAAGACATCCATTGTTCATGGATAAGAATAAATATTGTGAAAATGATCATTCGCCCAAAAGTGTTATATACAGATGCAATGCAATCCCAATGAAAATACCATTAACAAACCTTACAGATCTAGAGAAATAATGCCTAAAATTCACCTGGAACCAAAAGAGACCTAGAGTAACCAAAGCAGTTTGAAGTAGCAAAGGCAAGACAGGAGGCATCACTATCCCTGACTTGAAGTTATACTACAGAGTTTCTGTAATAAAATCAGCATGGTACTGGAATAAATATGGATCTGAAGATCAATGGAATAGATTATTAGAAGACACAATCATAACTGCAAACACACTCAACCACCTTATCTTTGATAAAGACATGTTCACTGGAAGAATGACAGTCTCTTTAATAAATGGTGCTGGAAAAATGGCTCCTCATATGCCGAAAACTACACCTAGACTCATGCCTATCACCATGTACTAAACTAAAATCTAAATGGATCAAAGATCTGAATATTAAAACAGAAACACTAAATCTGCTGGAAGACAAAAATCTTGAATCTTAGATAAAAATCTTGAAAACATAAGGGTAGGTAGGGAATTCATGAACAGGAATCAAACCACACAAGAAATACTTCCCAGAATCAATAACTGGGATGATGTCCTATTAAAAAGTTTGTGCATGTCAAAAGAAGTCTCCAGCAGAGTGAAAATAAAACCCACAAACTGGGGAAAAAAAATTCTCACTAAACTGTCCCTCAGACAAAGGACTTTTAAAACATATAAAGAATTTTTTTAAAAAAATGAGACCCCTGAAATTCAAAGACCCAATCCAAAAATGGGCATCTGAGATGAATACACGTTCTCAAATGAAGAAATGCAAATGGCAAATAAATACATGAAAAAATATTCATCATCATCAGTCTTTAGAGAAATTCAAATTAAAACAACACTGAGATTCCATCTTACTCCAGAAAGAATGACCAGGATCAAGAAAACTACCAACAACAAATGCTGGAGAGAGTGTGGGGAAAAAGGAACTCTCCTGCACTGCTGGTGGGAGTGTAGACTGGTGCCACCACTGGGGAGATCAGTCTCGACATTCCTCAAAAAGCTGAGATTGGAAGTCCCATTTGACCCAGCTATTTCACTTCTGGGCATATTCCCAGAAGAACTGAAAACACCATTCCACAGTGATATATGTGCACCCATGTTCATAATAGCACAATTTGTAATAGCCATATCTTGGAAACAGTCTAAGTGTCCATCAACTGAGGAATGGATAAAAAAGATGTGGTATTTCTATACAATGGAGTACTACTCAGCTATAAAGAAGGATCACATTGAGATATCTATAAATAAATGGATGCAACTTGAGACCATACTCATAAGCAAAATAAAAACTCATATTTAAATACCATATAGTCTCCCTAATGTAAGACATGGTAAGAGTACAAAAGGATTTATGGTAGTCTTGATTCCCCATTACATTGCTTTGAAGCCTTATAATGTTTTCATTAATTAGTTGGAATGGTTTTATTCTGTTTTGTTTGATTTGATTGTGTGTGATGGTATGAACAGCTATTTTGAAGAAAACAAGACATTATGGCAGCCATTGCACTGATGTAATATCATCTTGTTTTGAAGCCCTACTATGCTTTTGTTCTTATGTTTCCATTGGTTCTATCATGTTGCGTCTTATTGGATTTTAATATATGTGATAGTATAAACAAATTTGCTATAGAAAAAGAGTTAATATCATAGCCATTATTAATTTTCTGTTCTTTGGTTCTGAATGCCCTATAATACTTTTATTCTCCTGAATAGTTTTACACTATTTTGTTATGTTTGATACTATTATATGTGAAGGTATACTCAACTATTTCAAATTTTGGTTGCTACTGTTACTATCCAGTTGTCTTGTAGTGAAGTGCTGTATTGCTTACATTGTTCTGCTCTGACCTGCTTTGTTCTGTCTTCTTTTGTCTTAATCTCTTTAAAATAAAACTTAAAATTGTCAATAAAAAAGGATGCAAACTGGGAACATTGGGTATTGAAACATAAGTAAACAACACATTAAAAGTTGTTTTCTCTTGTGCTTTTTAGCACCTATTTGCAAACACAGACACCAGTACTTACATCTTCAGTGTTTATGTCAAAGCTTTCCAAAATTGGAGAAAAAATGGAGATGATTGTGGGTACATCAAACACAGTAAGCTACTGTATTTCTTTCCAGAGTCATGTGTATTGCTAGATTTACCTGGTTGAAATGTCTTTACATCCTTTATTCCTACTGCTTTCTTCGCAACACAATCTTTTGCTTCCATGGCAGGCTGAATGGGTTTTAAAGTCAAATGCTTAATGAACACTCCACAGCTCCAAAATGTGAAGTTGATTCAGAACACAAATATACAGTCATTACCTTCAAGTGAAGATGTGTGTCAGGTAAATCTAAAAAGGAAAATGAAAAATAATCTATATAAGAAAATATGAGAAAGCCAAACATACATTCTCACAGAGTTAGGATACATGCTTTACTTTGGAAATGAGTTCTTCAGATTTTTGACTTTGCTTTCCCATTGGTCAGATCAATATGAGAGAAAAATTAGAATACAGGTTGAACATGATTTCCAATGTGACATTATTCTTCCAAATGCCATAACTAAACAGGAAGTGAGTATATACCAATCTATACATGTCGGGTGTTGTGAAAAAGTGATTTTGGGATCCATCATGACCCTGAGAGGCTGACTGTCAAAGCTGAAAGAAGAGAACAGCATATAAATTGAACAAACCACATCATCCATTGGTACAGCATTGCACTACACGTAGGTGCTCTCGAGACACCCAGCACAGCAGAGCTCACAAACGGTGTGTCAATGCTATTTATGTTTTAAAAGATGAGGTTTTGTTATGCTGCCCTTAAATTCCTGCAAATGAGTGATCCCTCTCCCTCAAATTTTCAAATAGCTCGAACTGAAAGCATACGCACCATGCCTAGTGAGATTTTTATACACTACTCATCAATATCATTACTCCTTACACAAGCAGGTTTTGTGAAAGTTGGGGACATGGCTGAGGAGAAGCTACGTGGGAATTTCTCAGTGATTTCCACTGATACCGCATTGAAGGAATGAACCAAAGAGTGTCTCTATGTTACTTTTTAAAGGATTTGTGTGAAAAAGCTATTTTATCACAACTTACTTATCTTAAAATGAGTCAATGCTTCTATGTGTACATTAATGTCACTTGAATAATTATCAATTTAACAGAAATCTCTGATGCCTGATAGTTTAGGAGGGGAGGGAAGTACCTACAGTGTAAGGCAAGTCTAGCCCTTGTCCCTGCTTCTAATCATCTCTGCAGCAGCAAGAATCGACTTTGCCATTTGTGAGCACAAACACTGAAGCTGTGAGGAATAAGTGCTCTCATGTTTCATCATTTGTTCCAAAATTATGTTTAGCTTTGTTATTTCCTATTTTCTTCCCCCAATAAATCCCTGTTCCTCTCCCAACTGACCTCTAGTTCGATGGTCTTGATTGTTTCCATTTACTGCTTTTTATGGATTATTCCTACCATTCCTTTCTTTATTTGGCAGAAATGGCAGTAGTATCTTAGAATTACAATTTGTTTTTCATCTCTTTACTCTTTCCCCTTTGGCTAGAAATATTTTCAGAAATAAAAACAAGATTTATGGGATGAGGCTGAGGAGGCATATGATTCCCATTCAGTCTCTGTTCCCAGGAGGGAGCTCTCTAGGGGCACGACCTACCGCAGCAGTCCTGCCCTGGGGGAGTGCTGAGCTGTGGTGGAGCTTAGGACGGGGAGAACAGGTCAGACACTGGGAGCCTCATGCATCTGCTCTGTTACCTTCACTGATACCACTTCATAAGAGTCCAGAAGGGTGGCTTTTCAATTGTTCCACCTCATTGCCTCTTAAATTTGCCTTTGGGGACTTGCAGATCCAGAGTTACATTTGGCTTCTATGTCTTCGCACTTTCTATTTTTATTTCAGTGAAATTGCTGCACTGATCCTTATAAATTGTTTATGGTAGTTATCTTTATTGCTGCTATCAATAGCAATGACTTGGGAAATTACTACTCCTCAGAGACATCTTCAAGTTGTAGCTGACTTTTGAGTGTTGATTCTGTTATAAGATTGTCCTTGTTCAGCAGTCACGGGAAAGATGGTGGATCAGTAAGTAACAAGGTACAGAGCCTCTCTGGGAGAAACAGCTCAGACACTTAGAATTTACCACCATGCAGAAGACTGGGTGAAAGGAAATGGACTCTCAATGACTCAGGAAGAAACTGAGGAAAAAGATTTTTAAAAAAAGAAAAGAAAAATGTGGACAGAAGGCTGGAGCCAGAAGCACGCTCACCAGAGCCAGTCCAACTCACGGGTGTGGCACTCTCACCTGAGCCAGTTGGACTCGCGTGGCAGTGCTCTCACTGGAGCCACAGTTGTGCTGAAGTCAGGGTTTGGTAAGCCCAATGGAGGACAGAGCCAGTGTGGAGACCTGCACTAACCTGCAGTGAGTGCTCAGAATCTGGCCCTCCTGGGAGAGATTAGGTGACCAACCAGATGACATATTGATATTGGGCAGGATGGGCCAGAACAAGGAATGGCAGTGACTTCAGTTGGCTGCTCCCTGCCAAGAGCACATGGGTGGGATCTGACAGGGCTGGGTCATGCCTTTGGCCAGCACCCAATAGCCAGAGTTGAAATTGTCCCTGACATTTTCCTAAACCAGTTCCATCCTCGCTGCACAAACTAATGTGGTGAAGGCCTCCACTGGTTGACTGGCTCAGAGGGTAGGGGCCATCCTACACCACCCCTGCTTGCACCTCAATGACCAACAACAAAATGGAGAAGGCTGCAATCCCTAGCCAGCACACTTCAGAAGAACCATAACCAATAGGAAAGGGGCTGGGACCTTCACGATACACCTGTATTGAGGAAGCAAGATACATAACAAGAGAAAGAAGTAAGAAAAAGCCTCCAGTCAAACCAGGGAATATGGGGGCCAGGAGAGGTATATACCGAACAGATTGAGGGCAGCAAACATGAGATATTTGACATGGTATCAGCTGACATAAAGAAATATCTTCGTGACATTATAGATGAACTGAAAACTGAAATATTAATACAACTACAGTAAGATGTAAGATTAATAAAAGAAATGCTAAGCCCCTCCCAAGAAGACATAGATGGAAAAATGGAGGAACATGAAAAAGGAGAGAAACCTTCATAGAAGACCATAAAATAAAACTAGAATACATGCAACAGAGTCAAAGAGATTACCGGGAAATTTAAAACTACATTGAAAGATAGCAAAATTGCCTGAAGGAAACTAGGGATACATTAACAACACTTGATAGGTTTGCAATGTGTGATTGTGAAAGGAAAGATCTCTTAAAAATAACAAAGAAATAGGCAGTAACAATACAAAGGCTAGAAGACAACAAGAGGATGATCCATAGTTTAAGAATAAAAATGAGTGAAGAAGCAGGGGTAAACACAAAGCAGATACAAAGGCTATTCACAGAAATAATTAAGAAAAACTTCCCAGGCATAGGAAAAGGAGATGATATTCAGCTATTTGAGGCATACAGAACTCCAGCCACCTAAAACAAAACTGAGCTACCACCCAGACATATAATAATCAAGATCCCAGAAATTCATCCCAAGAACAGAATATTGAAAGCTGTCAGAGAAAAGAAATAGATCACCTCTAAAGGAAAACCCATCAAACTCATGACAGACTTCTTGACACAAACCATCAAATCAAGAAGAACTTGAAGTGAATTATTCCAAGCCTTGAAAGAAAATAACCTCCAATCCAGATTGACATACCCTGAAAAACTGTCTCTCAAAATTAATGGAGAAACAAGATGCTTCCATGACAAAGAGGAACTGGGGGAGTTCGTGACCACCAACCCAACCCTACAAAAAATACTGAAGGACATTCTAGAGAGGGAGAAAAAAACCCCAGGATTTCAGGAACAGTGGCAGAGAGGCCTCAATGAATGGGGCAGACAATGGAATGAAGGAGAAAAGTAGACAACCAATAGCAGAAAAATAGCATAGCAGAAATGAGGCAGAGAAGGTTGGCTATAATCTCTAACATAGATGGCCTTGATACACTAACAAAAAGAAACACAGGCAGAGTAGATCAGGAGATAGGGCCCATCGAAAATTTCCTCTGTATGGGAAATATAATTAACGTGAAAGAGGGTTTATGGACCAAAAGTCAAATATGAAAAAACAATGCTCTATGTGACAGGGAACCAGAGAGAAATAGGGGCAGCTCGTCCAGCACCTGAAGATAGCTTGGAAAGACATGACACTTGTGCAGTGGAGAAGAAGCTATAATGAAGCAAAAGTCTTGAGGCTTTTGTACGTGCAGGAAACCAACTTAAGATCAGGCCCAGGGGTAAAAAGTTTCAGAACCACTTGGGTAAATAACAGGTTGCATCCCTAACCTACAAACTAAAGGGAGTTAGTGGGAACCAAAATGTACAATGTAACCCATGAAAGTGAAAGTAAAAGGGAAGGAATTGTCTAAAAAGGAAGGCAGAGGACATTGTTAATAGTGTACCACGATTTAAAATCCACATTGTTCTTATCATTTTGTTTAGTTTGGTTATATTTTATTCCAGCCTGTCTACCTGTAGTAGACTTAATGGCCAGACAGCTACTCCAAAAATAGCAGGATATACCACAGTAACCATCCTTAATTTCCTATTAAATTAATCTGAAGCCCTGTATTACTTATACTGTCTTATTATGACTGATCTTATTTGAATCTGGTTTGTCAGATCACTGTCTCGTCTTGACTGATCTTATTCAAATCTGTTATGATTTGATAGTATCAAGTCTGAGAGTATAGACAACTACACTGAAGATGACAGGATTTACTAGGATACCCACTCTGGTTTGATTATTACCTGCTTTTGAAGTCTTATAATGTCTCCAATGTTTTGTTTTTATTAATATTGTTATATACTGCTATGTTCAATTATACTATGCCTGATGATATAGACAATTCTATTGAAGATAACAAGAGACATCATAGTAACCATTGTAGGTCACCTTGTGTCATGGTTTTATATGACTTTTTCATTTTGTGTTTTTCTAGGAGTTTTTGTTTTGTCTTGTTTTGTTTTTCCCTCCAATACAGAAAGGATAGCTATCCATAGAGAGACTCGTGCATGTGTAGAACTTCTAAACAGTTTATGAGAACTGATTATATAATGCACAATAAAATGAACAACTACTTTGAAGAAAAAGAGACACTAAGGGACCCAGTTCTGATTCTGTAGCATCATGATGTGAAATCCAGCAAATTATTATTCTTTATTCCAAGGGATTTTAGTCTGTTTTGTTTAATTTCAAAATGCATGAAGGAATGGACAGTGATTTTGAAGAGAATGAGGAACACTATGACAGCCATTGTCGATTTCCTTATTGTCTGGTCTTGAAGACGTAAAATGCCTTCACCATCCTGTTTGGATCAGTTTTATACTATGTTGTTTTGTATAAATTCACTGTATGTGAAGATATGGACAAGTATTTGGAAGAAAACAAGAGAAAGTATAACAGGTAGTGAAGATCTACTGATGTCTTGCTTTGAAATGTGTCTCTTACACTGCTTTCTTATGTTTTGTTTTGTTATCTTTTTTTATGCTTAATTTTACTCTGTTTAAAATAAAATTAAGAAAAAAAGATTTATGCTCCCCCTTGACCCTGTTATGTCTTGATCTAGTTCTCAACTTATGGTTCTTCTCCAGATTTCTCTACAGGAAACTTGATATTGGGCCACCTCCAGTGGTCTGAGGATGAGCGGTGTCAGCCTTTCCAGAGAACTTACTACCAATACACTTCCTCAGTCCTTGTGAATCAAATATGTGGTGTAACATGTTCCCCAACAGGGGCTTCATTTCTTCACAAAAGATCTGGCACACACATTCTCTTCCAAATCCTCTTCCCTTCCCTGAGTCTCTTTCAAATCCTCTTCCCTTCCCTTTTTTCCCGTTTTGGAAAGTGGTGCTGACTTCCTCCTCATCATGTCACCCAAATTGAAAATGCACGAATGTCAACCACTTTCTTATGGACTTTTTACTGAGACTATGACTTTGCTGATCTCAAAAAGCATTCCTTTCTTTCTATTTTTTTACTGTCTCATTCTGGATACACTACATGATGAAACAGCAACTCTTTTTAAGTGGTAAAACTGTAAATGGAATTCTGCAACCAGCATTGTGGGAGAAGTAAGTGCATGAACCAAGGTACCAGTGAAACTATGCATATAGCTGACCTTGCTTGTTTATTCTGATCTGTAGTGAATAAAGAAGAGCTCTGCATAATCTAGTACTTCAGTCCTTGATGCCTTTCCAGTGGTAAGAAGACAGGGAAAGTGAAAAACTTCTGCTCTACTTCTCTATCAAGTTTTGCTACTCAATGCTCAATTGATACAATTTCTACACTTCTGCTACCTTGATCTTCCTTCTCTTAAGAATTACTTCATTTCAGGGGCTGGGGATTTAGCTCAGTGGCATAAGTGCCTGCCTTGCAAGCAGGCAGTCGTGAGTTCGATCCCTGGTACCAATAAAAAAGGAAAAAGACCAAAAAAAAAAAAAAGAATTACTTCATTTTTCCACACTCCATACTTTGTTTTCTTTGTTTACTCCCTGTATTATTGCTTTCGCATTCTTCACTCCTTTCTTTCCTATTAATTTTCTAACTTCCCTCAGACATTAGAATGCCTTGAAATGGTGCTAACAAGGTAGCTCCCTCAGTGACCCTCAAATTAACCTATTACTTAAACTTCAAAGTATATAAAACTTACTACTGATTTACTTCTTTTTTCTTACTATCCAACTCATGGGTAGTTTTTTGACTATTATAATCCAGCAATGCTCTACTTTTAGCTAAATAACTATCAAATAACTTCTCTAAATAAATTACACATATTTCCTACCTTTTGTTTGTGTATTTCCTGCATGTTTTCCTCCATCATCTGCATCCCCAGGAAAAGGATCGACAGGCTGCTGTGGAAGATTCTCAGAGATACTCTGTGAAAATTCATATAGCAGTAATGAGTTACAGAAGCATTTCTTACTCATTTCCAAAGAAACTATCTGATTTTTACCATCTTAAGGCAAGCAGGTTTAATAATGGGAAGCATATACTGAGAACCAAAATGTCTCCCATGTGAACCTTATGACAAGCCCAGCTGCTGTCTCCATATGGGTGCTGACTTTGTAAAGCAGGCATGGAATGCTACAGGAAGGATTCAGAGACAAAATTCTGTCTGACAAACCTATTTCATCCTAGCTTCACAAGAGTCAACAGTACGCTGCACTCTCCAATGAATGTAACATTGAAACATACAGATTTACATGAAGCCATTTTTATGAGTGCATGTTTGTGATATGTAACAATTACACTTGTTTTGGGGAACTGCTACATGAGTTATCATTTCTTGATTACCTTGGTTCCCTTTACACCCTAATATCACTTTCCCTTCCCTGAATAAACAAATTCTTATAAATATACTTGTTATTATTCAGCATTAAGCATTCTATTCACAGAAGTCATGTCACTGTTAAGATACTCGGCCAGTAAGAAACTTCAGAGAGCCATGCTGAGTAAAAACATCATTGCAGGCACTACTTCACTTATGTAAACAAGGATTTGAAAGAAAAGCAATTCTGAGATAATATTTTTACTGATAGAAAAATGTTTGAAAATAAAAATATACTGATAACTTCATGTTATATTCAAGAAATAGCACATGAATATGAGATGTTATATACAACTCTTTCCCAATTAAGAAAAACTTTGAAAAAGTATGAAAAAAGACTGCAACATAAAAACTTTTTTTACAAAGTGCCCCCAATTTACAACATACCGACTTACACATTTTCTTTTCTATCTGTTACAAAACTGTAAATAACTGTGAGGAAGTAACTGCACTTCCTGCTTCCTGGTCACTGTAGGGTGCTGCAGTGATGGACAGACAGGGCTCATGGTCCTGCCCACAGTGTCCTCCTGGACTTTACTGTGCTGGCTCCTGTTCACTCTTATATTAGCAGCAGTTCACTCTCATTCCCATCTGTACTGAAACCCCCCTCGAAAATTCTTTAACATTTGCAGGGCTAGTGGTGCACACCTGTAATTCCAAACTTTTGGAAGGGTAAGGCATGACAAGCACCAGTTCAAGCCCAGTCTTGGGAATGTGGTTACATAGAAAGACCCTGTCTCAAGTCTAATATGGCTGGTGGTGTAGTGCCATGGGAAGGCCACAGGATGGATTCAAATTAATGAAATAAAAAGTGCTTCTTGTTCATTTGACTGCTCTATCATGATAACATAAGTCTTCACCTAAGATATTCAGTATCTCACTACTTGGTACACAGTGGTACTCTAAAACAGAGATTTATTCAAGTTCACATTTAAAATCTCATCAGGGAAGCCTCAAGCACCAAGCCACTCTCTTCCTATATGCTGTCTCCATCAACAGTTTTACTAAGAGTTTTACCATTTACAAATCAGCAATCTACATGCCTCTCTCATCTTTCTTACTCTTTTCTTCACATTATTATTTTGCTGATCTCATGTTTAGGAAAAAATCTTCAATATTTATTCAGGTAAAACCTTTTATACTTTCAAAGTATTTTTATAATTTTTATCACAAATTTCCTATGACATATAGAAAGCATCACATAAGTAGTAGATCATGTGCCATCTTCATGGTATAATAAGGTCACCAAAAGCCAAATTCATTAAATTATGTTTCCAAGATTTAGCAGTTACTAACAGACAGAATACTAACACATCTTGTGACTTCAACCACCATCCTGGTACCACAATGCAGGAGCTGCATGGAACAAAGACATTAGCCCTTTCCCAAAATGCTCACTCTAGGGCCAGGGATTTAGCTCAGTGGCTGAAGTGCCTCTCTGGCAAGCACAAGGTTGTGAGTTTGAACCCCAGTAACCGAAAAACAAAACAGAACAAACAAAAAATCAAAATGTTCACTCTAACACAATTTGTCATTATTTACATTTTTATCAGTACAAGCATGGCTGCCATAAAGAGACTCACTGCATTCCACATTCAAAATTGGTTTCTGTTTTTTCAAATAATATAACACCAAACTGTGAGTATAACACCATGTATTGACATCTTGAGTCCTTGATTCTATTGAATTACTACGTTCAGATCGACACCAGGAAACCCAAACATATTAACTATTGCAATTATCATTTATTACTCTGTCAAGTAAAAAACTGTAAAAATTATGATCCAAACATTTTGTCTGAATCTCAGCAGAATTTTCACCCATTGGCCATAGACTGACTGGGAAGAATTCCTCAGTTTTTGCTCAGCTTAGTTTCAGAATCCAAGCTGATTGCTTATGACATGTTGCTCCTAGTTTTTAACTGCACTGGCTTCCTTAAATGAATCTTACACAGGTAGCAAAGGTGTGCTCAGACTCCATTCATTTATTCCTTCACCTGCAGTACAAAGGATTCAGCACAGGGCAATTGCATTCATCTATGAACCCAGTGGCATTAACTCTTTGAGACATAATCATACTAAACAGCTAAGCCACACAGGAAATTAGGAACTGTGGTTAAAAACTGTAAGGAAAAATTTCTTACAGGTATATGAACAGGTGAGAAAGTATAGTCAAATTTTCCCATTATATTTCAACCTCAACCAATATTTATTTCAAAAATAATTACAGGCAATACCTCAGAATCCCAAGGAGATTCATCATCTGTCTGTGCTTCCAGTGGCAACACAGTATCTATAAAATGTAGTCACAGACACATTAGTTATATTCACTACAATAAATTTTACTCATGTATGCAAATCCATCTGCATTCATGAATATTTCACTAAGATACAAGTCAATGTGAAAAGAATTTCAGAAACAGGTTCAGAAATATGTTGGTGGAAGAAAAATAAGACAATAAAATTTTAAAAGAAATGGATATTATGTTTTGGATCTACACACATTTGAAAATAATAGCATATGAACAAGAACGATTTTCATAGCTAGTCACTAACTTACCAGTTTGAGGAGTTTTCTTCTCTTCATCCACATTAGTCACATTTTTGGCTGTTTGCTCTTCTTGTGTTTTTACAAGAACAAACTTACCGTTTTCCAGCCATATAATTTTTGGCCTTTCTGCTTCTTTCTAACAAAAAAAAGGCAGAACAAAAACAAAAATAGCATTACAAAGCATGCAATTGCCCAGTGACCCACTCAGCATAATGGAAACAATCGCGGGAAAAAATTTATCAAATCACAGTGACTACTCTGGGGAAAAGCTGAAAACAGAAAGCACATTCTGCTCTGCATGGAAGTAGATGCAGATACATGAACACAAATGAAAACAGTGAAATGTGTTTCATTTATTCTACAAATGAGGTACAAAGATACACATCCAAATCAAGTACAATCAGTTCTATCTGGGAAGCTCAGGAAAGGCCATTTCTTTTGAAAGGGAGAGAAAGCACACAGGAAGGCTGTCTAGGGAAGTCAAATTATCACATTTACATTTAAACCTCAACCAATACTTATTTCAAAAATAATTACAAGTGATAGGCAACACCTCCAAATTCAAGAATACCATTTCATTTAAAGAACAAATGAAATACCTCAGAATTCAAAAAGGGACACCAGAAACAAAAGGATGAGGCATGAAACAATGCAGCAAAAGAGGGCTGCCCAAGGAAGATGATACAACTAGAATAGTTTCCAGAAGGGCACAAACAGATAAAAAGGAGCAGCAAGGGGAACCACACAAGACTCATCTCAGGCTGGAATGGGAACTTTTCCTTTGTGAAAAGGGAATCTGCAGATTCTTGGCAGCAGTGTAAGATCAATGCCAGAGTTTAATGGGCAGCAGAACATAAAAGAATATAATGTCTACATGATGGGTGAGAAAATGAGTCTAGAAATGAAAAACAGTTCTCAGAATGTAAAGAGTAAGAAAGACTCGATAGTCATCAGAAGAGTGGCTGGGGCCAGGAATTCTCAGCTTCAGAGGTCTGGAGCCATCCAATATCATCACGGAAAGGTCACAGTCAAGGCCTGCAGAAAGACATCAAGCTGGAGGCCTGGGACTGCAGACACATTGTAGGAGGAGGGGAGAAGATGACCTCACTCAGGAAATCATATCAGTTCAAAAGGTGAAGTATTTGTAGAATACAGCAAACTGAGGTAGTAATGCTAACTATGCTATCCATGGTTCTGAAATTCCTCAAATGAAATCAAGGAGATGCCATTTTTCAATGATATACACTAACTTTTTTTCAGGAAATGAGCATAAACTTTTATTGATATATGTAAATGCTGACTTCTGGGACACTACATAAATATGATTTTAAAATTTAATCATAAGATTTAACACTAAAATATCCATTGAAGATTTTGCCAAAGATTCCTGTTCAAAGAAAAATCTTCCAGGATTTAATGAAATGGAGGCCTGCTGATGTGCACCTGTGTCCTGTGCTAATAGGGCAGCTGAGGTACGATGGTTCCTGAAGCCAGGAGTTAGAAGCCCAACTGATAAGTATAACCAGGTCCATTCTCAAAAAGGGAAACATATTGTAAATTATAGAAGGGAAATGGTGATATATTTACAGAATAAGGTATTTTTGCATACTACTATAACATGAGGGAGAAATGTAAAACCTTATTTAAAAATTCCTATTCTCCCAATAAATGGCATATCCCAATACTTCTAATTTTCTATTTATACCATATGCAATGACAGTTACAAATGGAAGAAAGGTTGCATGCTATTTACCACTACCTGAGAACTGAAGCATTTATAGTAGAGAGAGAAGAAAACACAGTATGTTCCATGAGTTTTTCATTCAGAGAAACAACTGCTAATCAGGATTCTATAGAAAAATTACACTTTGAAAAGATGCACCTAGTAAACATGGAGCTGGCTAAAAGAAAAGATTAATAAATTTTAAGATGACATTCTAACCTATGTTCAGAGTTAAAGGATACTACAATGTACTGTGTGTATCATACCTATTCATTCCTCTGATTTGTTTCCTTATTTGACATAACATTAAACATAACCTGAAATTATATATCCTAAGCACAGTAAGGAAATATACACTTTAGGGCATATTTTTAGAAACTCAATGTACTTATTTATTACATAAATCATGCATACATTACTTGAAAAATTCTACTAGGTAGAAATCCATTCATTAACATTCAAATGGTATTAAAATGCCTCTTAATACAAAACACCGCACTGCAGGTCTTCAGAATTCACACAACATCTTTCTAATCTCCAGAAACTCACAGTACTGCGGGAGTTTTAAATGAATATTTGGAAGTACAAAAACTTCTGAAACTTGAAATGTCAGAATGAGATTTGGACACTTCAACTGTATATTTTAAAAACTATAATGCTTACAATTACTTAATCATTACCACTTGCTTTTTTAGACCATCTAGCTCTAGGACTGGTCATTATTTTGACCACAACAAGTATTCTTCAAAAAGATGAAAAATTTTAAAAATGTTATCCTCTTAATGGAGGAATCACTTAGAAAACAAGGTGCAGGCAGGTGTAGTAGCACATTCAACCCAGCACTGAAGGTGAAGCTAAAGATCCCAAATTCCAGTCCTGATTAAAAAACAAATTCAATTAATTAAAAAAAATGAGGACCAGGGGTAGACCTTCTTGCACAGGCCCTGTGATCAACTCCCAGGAACAAAAGAAATAAAATAGCAACAATGAAAATCCTGCACTTCTAAAGTTTGAAGACACAGATACAGATAACTTTGATGAAACATTTTAAATTTCTAAGCTGTCACAGTTTCCAATATTATTTTAGTCCAACAACAGAACCAATAAAGGCAACAGAAAAGCTCTCATAAAAACTGTATGACAGTAAAATAAAATATACTTAAAGGAAAAAATGTTTTATCTCTAAGTTGCTCAAATGAAGGCACCAAAGTTCCCTGATTATTGAAAGGACTAATAAGATCATAAAATATTTATATAGGTATGAGTGCTATGAAGATCTTGGTAGTAAGATTTTCAAGCCATGGCAAGGTTCACTTATCCAAATGATCCTTGACCAAATTTTGTATTTCCGCCATCATGGCAAAGGTTTGACAGACACAATTTTCCTGTCACTGTATGTTTTCTAACCCATTAGTTTTTTCAGTCACAAATACTTCAAAGTATGTACCAGTTATTTACCAAAGGGGTGGAAATTCTTTTTGACTAGGCATAGTTCTCTAAAATGAACTTCGCGGATCAATGTTCCATATAAATTCAGGGTAGCTACACCACTGTTAAATTTGAAGACTAAGTGCAATACAATGCAAAACTAAGAGGAAGAAAACTAACATTACGAAAGAGACTTACCTTGTTATCCAGAAGAAAGTCAGTGTCATCTGATTTAGGCCAGAAATTAACAAGACTGTGTTTGCTGGAAGAGCTGGGGAGCAAAAACACACAATAGCAGTGGGTGAGTTTCATTCTTTAAAAACTGGTGAAAGCTTGGCTATCTGTGTATCAAATGATGGTTCGTGGTTGACACAACTAAAATTTGACTTGTAGTTTTGAAATATTTTAGATGTTTCCTTCTGTCTTCACTTATTCCAATCTACGAAACACTCAGCATAGTCTCACTTTCACTCCCAAAGTGTGACAGCCAAGAGACCAGCACAGTCTAAAAGTCATTTCTCTTTACAAATTGCCTCCTCTGAAGGCTGACGTGAAAATGCAATCAATGGCCAACAAAAGTTGTTACCTGGACTCAAAAATGCCTGGTAACCTCAAGGTGAAAAGATTCACCGTCCCCTTTCCCTGGTCTGTCTCTGTTTCAATGACTAATCTGGTTGTGATGGTTTTGGTTTAAAGTGTCCCCTTTAGTGGGAAGGTGTTTGGACCATGGGGACCCTATACTCAGCATGCCCTCATCCATCTGCAAGTTCAGTAGCTCACTGTGCCCTTAGCAGGTTGGGTCTGCTCTGAGGCAGACCACTGGGTCCTGACCTGGATGGGTGAATTCTCACCCCTGGTTCTTCAGCCCTCTCACTGCTCCTGCCTGCAGGAGCTTTCCTCTACCTTGTCTCCCTGCTAAGGAATTTCTTCCTTGGAGCCTGAACTGAGTCAAAATAAATCTTTCCTCCTTTAAAACACTGGGGTTGAGCAATTTCCCCCATTAATGCAAAAGTTAGTGAAAGTCAGTATGATGCTAAGTAACTCTGGAATGGCAGTCTTTTTCTACTATCAAAGCCCCTTACAGTAAGACAACTCTGTTTCTTCCCTTTACCATAAAAACAGGACATTGAACTATAAAAATATCTGAAGGTTAAAAGTATGGAAATCAAAGAAAAAAATGTGTATGTGAGTTGATAAATCTCTTCCCAGGGAAATTAAACTATTAAAAATTATAAAATCCAATTATTTTTCCTGTATGGCTTTGCTTTTTTCACCTACACATAAATTGGTGAAACTTTCACAGACACACTGACATTCAAGCAGGATCTAGCTGGAAAATCAGCCCTGGTAGCTGCTCCTCTGTTATCCTAAGTCTAATCTAAAGTCCTTCTGAAAGGGCTCCTACTCCTGGGCTGCTCAATGGAGGGCTCCACAAGAGTCTTCACCTAAACTTTTCAGTCTATGAAGACATAGATTCCTGCAACAAGGATGAACTCAAGTAAGCAACAGTAGCTGTTCCTGAAAAGAAAGCTATTTGTGTCACAATCACCTACCCTCAGCAGAAGCAAGGTACTGATAATCAAATGGGCACGTCTGACTTCCAGGCCTACCTTCCATCTACAGGAAGCACATCAGCCAATGGAGTAAAGAGGTGGAGGTGAGAGACATCTGTCCTGGGTCACAGGCCCATGAAGTTCAGCAACTTATGGTTCCCAGTGGACTTTGGGGCCTGAGCCACCCTACATGAACTGAGAAGGAAGGTGGCCATGGGACATTCCTCCCTGCTCTAGAGACTTCCCAATGGCTCACATTACCCTAAGCAATCCAACACCAATCTTCAAGTTTCTCAGTTTCTCCAACTGAACAAAAGGGCAACAATCTTTTCAGGTATCTTTAAACCTTCACTTTTAATATGCCTTTTGAAACAATGCTCACTAATTTGGGCTTCAATTTCTGTATTATCTTTATTAAACTTGTGACAAACCTCAACTTTCTGATTTCTAATACCCAAGTCTTGCCCAATTCGACGCTGCTCTTCAAACTTGCCTTCCCTCATGAATTCTACTGTCATGCTCTCCCACTGGGCATGCTAGACCTGCTCCTCTCTTCTGCTATGGAAACTCTCACAGAAGGAGACATGAGGAAGTGTATTAGTCTCAGCAACGATAGAACCTGATTTCAATTTCATTTTTACCATGAACTATATTCAGATAAGTCACTTTAATATCATTGTGCTTCAAATTCTCTAGGATACAACCATGTGGCTAGAATGTTAAGCAGGTTGAGGCAATAGAAGGTATTTTTATTGGTCTCTTAGATTCCTTAGAACCTGAAAGTCTACTTATTTTTTACTCTGCTTAAGGAACAATAAGAAATACTAAGCAGCATAAGCACTTGCCTTGCAAGCATGCAGTCGTGAGATTTGATTTCTGGTACTAAAAAAAAAAATACTAAGGCAGCAGAAATAAAAAAAAATACCAAGTAGAAGAAAAATTTTTTAAAAAGTCAAGAAAATATTTTACTTAAGAGGAAAAAAAATCATAGAACTAGGCAATAGTAATAGCCTGAAAGGAAAACCAAACTGGGAAATTGGTGAATAGACACATGCATTAAAAATGTCATTGCAATAAACCCTCAACATAAATAATATAAGATGATTTACATAAAGATAGTCTTAACTACCACATCTCCCCTAAGTTCTATAGTGGTAAAAACAAGAAACTGGCTATCAATTCAATCATTATCTTTAGAATAAACTCACCAACTTCTCAGGAAAACTAAGCAGACTTGACATGTCCCTTATGGTGACTTTCTACATTGATCTTAAATGACCTGCATTTGGATCCCAGCACTGCAGAGGGCAATGGAAGGCATCTGGGAGCCAGGCAGGCTAACAGTCAACACATGGGTCAGTTACTTCTTAATTATGAGACCATGGACCATTTAAATAACCCCCATTCATAACAGCAGCCAAATTAATAAAACTGGATTAAAACAGTACAGGTACTTTGTCTGGCCTGGAACAGAACACTAAAAAACATTATTTTCTTTTTCTGCACTCACTAATTAGTCACTGTATGATATTTAAAAACCTGTAAATTCTTACCTGGTTAGAGATTCATCTTCAGAAATAGCAGGTGCTATTAAAGAAAAAGGTAAAATATATTTTGAATTAACAAAAATATAAACTATTAAAGTATAACTCTGATGTTTTGACACAAAATAGTCTTTTGGGCTACATCTGTAGCCCATTCTACAATCAGTATTAATTATGCTATTGATATGCAATGCAATAAGAAATCTCACTTCCTATTTTTTATTTAAGAAATGCAGGGAAGAAGAGAATTTACCTACATTTGATAGCTAAATGAGCAATAGTGCTGTGCACAATCACATCCTACCTAAAGGTATTATATTGACAGAAATGGTACCATTAGCAGTATCGCTGGCATAAGCTGACATGGCAAACAAAGAGCATGACTTTCCTAGAGTAGTGGCACTAGGAACGATCATAAAAGATACACTTATTTTCTTAAGACACAAGGCAGCTGCTGTAGCATTCAGTTGGAACTGTAGAGTTTGAAGAGGAAATACTTTAGCTCAAGGAAGCTGTAAAGGGCATTCTAATTTGCAGCATGGCAAAATATGGGAAGCACACCTGAAACAAGCACCATTGCAATGATTTCCAGCTCTCAGTGGAGAAGAGCTCAGGAGAAGTCTGTGCACTTACTCTTGCTATTCCTCTCCTAGGGAAGATGCTAAGGAGCTCCCTTAGTTCTCCCTGGTTTCTCTGTCATATGTGTGATGGAAACAGGGCTCAAGTTCATCTGCTATCTTACTTCCCATGGAAAGAACCACTTCAGAGCTCAAGCCCTTACAAGCTGGTCCAGTCTGAAAAGCTTAAAAGCCAGCACCGGGGAGGTTGCAACCAGCTGCCAGGGAGCACTATCTTACATGGAATAATGAAAACATACAAATGAAACCACTAACTCACTGAGCCTCTCAGAATGTGACAAGTGAAAGACAAAATTTTACGTCATGTAAACTTTGGGAAAAAAACAAAACAACACAAAGAACCAAAAGCCTCTGATTTCCCGTGACAGAGAACCTATTCATACAAAGTCAGGGCTGGGGTTGGACTCAGTGGTAAACATGTGTGCACAGCACGCACAAGACCACTGAGTCCCTAGTACTGAAGGAGTGAGGACCAATAATAATAATGATAAAATCGGTCATGTTTTACTAACTTAACATGACTTGCACTCAAAGGAAGAGGAGCATTTTGACTCACCTATAGCTTTCATTACTCCCTCATCTTACTTCCCATCTCCAGGTAAGAATGAAAGCCCTGAGGCACTTTGAGAAGCACAGCACTCGCCAGTGTCTGCCTCCATTCTCAAAGGTTCTGTCTGGACCCAACAGAACAAGGTGGTGCAGTTCGTGCTCTGAAGTTCAGCATGATGTCACTTTTGGCAACCCTCCTCATGATGAGGAATCCACATAGAAAGCAGGCCAGCTCAGCATGTGGAGCACATGCCATCAGCGCATATTCATACAAGCATGAAAAACACAAAAACTAAGGCTGGAGGTATAGCTCCATGGTAAATCATTGACCTGGAATGGCCAAAGCACTGGCTTCGGTCCCTAGCAACATCCCCAATAAGAGGAAGAAAGGCAGTTCAAGTAACAGCTTTATTGGCTACATTCAGTTAGCTTGAACAGTTATTGCTTTTAATCTTCAAAAATTATCCACTGTATCATTTCAATGAAGGAGCAGATCTGCTAAAATGATCACTGCCAGGAAAATGAAAAGTTCAGTGGTTGCAGTATTGGTGGGGTGGTGCAGGGCCAGGGAGGCAATGAACAAATAGCACAAAGGAGCTGTCTGAGGCATGACACTGCTAAAGGAAACACACAACAAATTCCAATCCACCATCACATGAAGAATGCTAACAGTGAAACTTAGTGTTAAATGCAGACTTTGGATGGGAACCAAGGACCAGTGTAAGTCATCGTCTATAACAAGTGTACTACTCTAGAGGACAGCACTGGCCATGGAGGGAGGCAACTCGTGTGAGAGGCACACAGTCTACTGGAAATCTCTGGAGCTTTCTTTCAATTTTGCTGTGAACTTAAGCCTGATATTTTAAAATGTTCATAGTGCAAAGGGTACAGTTCAGTGGAGGGGCACTTGCCTTGCATGAATGGAGTCCGAGGTCTACCAATCACTGCAAAAAAGAACGCATAGAAAATAAAAGAGAAGAAACAAAGCTATTCATTAAAGATAGTTACTAAACCCAGTACTGCAGAAGATACGGAAAGTCAGTATACCCCTGGAGATAATTACAAGATCAAAGTAGCACAGACTAGATATCATCTCCTAAACTAAAGAATAGGAAAATACAGAGAACAACATAAGTTACAAACTTGGGTGGGAAAATAATGTATAAGTGACTTAAAATTTTATTTTTAGTCACAAAAATCACTTCTCAGTGATAAGGTCATGTAGTAATATGTTATTTACTAAGTCTAATGCATTTATTGACATATTAAAACTTTATTATATGTTATTACACAGACAGTAAACATAGTGCTTTAAAACTCTTTTCATGTATAGGATTTCAGAAGTAAAAATTAATAAATGGAGTATTTTGAAATAAAAATTTTCCTATACTTAATTTCTTAAATACTTCTGAATTCAGCAGTATTAAGAAAAAAACAAGAACAAATATAAATGCAGCAGTAAATATACTACACATTTGAATAGACCCATCAGATGGAGAACGCCAACAGTTTGCCCTAATGTTAACTGCCAACGTTAGATGATAACGTAACAAAGGACCACTGTAAGTCATCATCTGTAACAAGGGTACTCCTCTAGGGGCGGGCACTGGCCATGGAGGGAAGCAAAACACTTTGTGTGAGAGGGACATGATCAATCAAAGCCCTCTGGATCCTCCTTTCAACTTTGCTGTGAACCTAAGCCAGACATAAAAAACAAAGTTCTTAGTGAAAAGGGTGCAGCTCTGTGGTAGAGCACTTGCCTGACTTGAGTGGAGTCTCGGGTTGAGTGGCAACCACTGCAAAAAGGAAGACAATGAAACAGAAAAAAAAGAGAATAAACAAAGAAACAAAGAAAAAGGTATTATTTAAAGAAAGTTAATGAATCTACTAATACCATGATACAGAAATTTAGTATACAATTGGAGATAATTCAAAAACTCAGTAACAGTGTATAGATATCACCTCCTAAACCAGAGTAGGACATTATACAGAACAATACAAATTACATACTTTAGTGGGAAGATAATAATTGTTAAGTGACTTCAAATTTTATTTTTAGTCACAAAAATCACTTTTCAGTAATACAACCATGTAGTAATATTCTTTTACTAAGTCTAACACATTTACTTAAAAAATTAAAAGTTTACTCTAATGTTAGTACACACAAAGTAACCATACTAATTTAAAACTATTTTTCATGTATAGGATTTCAGAAGTAGAAATTAAAGAAGTGTAACATTTGGATTAAAAATTTCCTATAATCATCTCCTAAATTCTTCTGAATATGGAGTATTAACAAACAATTAAGAACAAACATAAATGCAACAGTAAATACCCTACACATTTGTTAGACCCATCAGATGGAGAACACTAACAGTGAACCCTAACATTAACCGCAGATTCAGATTTTAAGGATAAGGGTAGACTCATGGTAAGTCATCATCTATCACAAGTGTACTACTCTAGGGGAGAGCACTGGCCATGGAAGGAGGCAACTTATGTGTGAGAGGCACATGATCAACTGCAAATCTCTGGAGCTTCCTTTCAATTTTGCAGTGAACTTAAACCTGATATAAAAAAGCAAACTTCGTAGTGTAAAGGATACACCTCAGTGATAGCGCACTTGCCTGGCCTGAATGGAGCCACAAGAAAAGGTTGAGGCTCTGCAAAAGGGAAGACAAAAGAAAACAACACAGGAAAAAGCTGTTAATTAAATGTAGTTACCGAAACTACTACTACCATGTTACAGAAACTCAGTATATACCTGGAGATAATTACAAGATCAAAGTAGCACAGAATAGGTATCATCTCCTAATCCAAAGAATAGGAAAATATATAGAACAATATAAGTCACATACCTAGGCAAGAAAATAATTGATAGGTGACTTAACATTTTATTTTTATTTACAACAATCACTTCTTAGTGATACAATCATGTAGTAAAATGGTTTTACTAGGTCTAATGCATTTATTAAAATATTAAAACTTCACTATAATGTTAGTGCACAGATACTGGACATACTGATTTAAAATACTTTATCATGTACAAGATTACAAAATTGAAAATTAAATAAAAGGAATATTTTAAATCATAATTTCCTATACTTCATGTCTTAAATATTTATGAATTCTGGAATTTAACACAAAATTAAGAACAAATATAAATGCAACAGCAAATACACTACACATTTGAATAGACCCATCAGATGGAGAACACTAACAGTGAAACTAATATTAACTGCAGATTTGGATTATAATAATGGACCGGTTTAAGTCACTCTCCATAACAAGTGTTCTAGTCTAAGGGAGGGCACTGGCCATAGAGGGAGGCAACTTATGTGTGAGAGGTACATGATCAACTGCAAATCTCTGGATCTTCCTTTCAATTTTGCTGTGAACTTAAGCCTGAAATTTAAAAAAACAGTTTATAGTGCAAAGGGTACAACTCCATGGTACAGCACTTGCCGGATACGAATGGAATCTCAGGTTTTTTGGCAACCACTGCAAAAAAGAAAAGAATGGAACCGAAAAGAAAACAGAAGAGAAGAAACAAAGAAGAAAAGCTATTAATTAAAGACAGGTACTGAAACTATTACCATGTTATAGAAACTCAATGTACAATAGGAGGTAATTCCAAGATCAAAGTAGCACACTATTACTATCATCTCCTAAACCAAAGAGTGGAATATTATACAAAGCCATATAAATTAAATACTTAAGTGGGAAAATAATTCATAAGAGGGGCAACATTTTAAGTCAAACACATTTGTTTAAAATGTTAAAAGTTTAATCTTAATTCACACAAAGTAGCCATAGTGATTTAAAACATTTTCATGTACAGGAATTCAAGGAAAATTAAATGAATGAAGTATTTTAGGTTATAAATTTCCTATAATTCATTTCCTAAATTCTTCTAAATATGGAGTATTAACAAAAAATTAAACACAAATATAAATTGAACTGTAAATACACTTCACATTACA